ATGGGTTAGGTTTAAATAAAATAAATACACCGTGAGAAATGTATGCCAAATAACACATAAAACTATAGGTTTTCAAATTTGTAAAATTTTAGAAATATCAAATTTAATAAATTAGACTCTAAGGTATTATGCTAAACTTTAATAACAATAACTGGTTTTGAAAGATAAGGACAAATAATGACCTTTAGGAAGAAGGAAGAGACCACATATTTCATATTAATTATATTATGTTAAGTTAAATAATGATTAAAATACTTAAATCCCACAACAAACTAAAATATTATCATTTTTAATAAATATTTAAAGTATTACTAAGAAATTCTATTAAATATTAAAATATTATTATTTTAAAAAATTTCCCTAACTTTAAACCATTACATACCCCGCATTCAACTCGCCCTATTGACATCGCTAAACTAGAAACAATTACATATACATTGCTCAAATCAGTAATAATTATGATTAATGACAATAAACAAGTGTCTGATCTAATTAGGTAAAGTCATCATTGTTCTAATCATGATAATGGACTTAAGGGAGTAAATTAAAATAGTACAAAGTTTTAAATTATATATGGTGTGATATTAGTGGGCTCATAAATTTCGTTTTATGAGAAGGTGATATTAGTGTTTCATATTACTTGTTTATTTTTTCTTTTTTATATTTTATAAAAATCATAAATAAGAAAAACATTTTACTAATTTACCTTTCTAAGTCTTTTTACTATACTTTATTTATATACCTTATTCATTAATATCAAAATTAACAGTGAAGTTTCTTTTTGAAATTTTAATATTTATATTTTATCAAATGAATTTTAAGGGAAAATTGAGAAAATATTTACTTTCAATTTTATAAATTGATTGATAATTTAATAAACAAATAATATAGAAGGGAAAAAACACTGTTAAGTTATTCTAGTACTTATCTATCCTATGCTAGTAAAGTTATTCAATGCCAATTAATTTGTCCCATTAATGTTTGAAGAACTTAAACATAAGTACTAAACCTTAAAGTAGTGTTCCTCTCTTATTTTATTTATCCATTATATTAAAATTTTATTTTTATTTGTTATTTTTAACATATAAAGAAAATATTATTTTGTTATAATTTTATTAAGTATTAAGATAGTTTAAAAGAACAAATAAAATAGTTAAACTTGGTAAAAATTATCTTGATCAATCGAGTCTTGACTCGTTATATAATTCGTTACGTACCTAATTCTTTTTGATCCAAGTATAAATAAATTGTATTGAAAAGTTATCTTAATCAGTTATGATCTGTTCAAATTTAGCTCAACTTGTTTAATCGCCATCACTAAATAGTACGTACCCACACTAGACTAGTTGAAGGAGAGTAGGAATTAGCTTAGAAAGCTAGAATGACGAGTATTTTGGTAATTAAAAATCTTATAGTAATTTCTTCACTAACCCTAGATATATAAATTAATTTTGTAGGCCATAAGGTAGGCCTAGGGTGAAACTTTGAATTATATCAATGACTGTAAGGTCTTAATTAATTATTCTTTACGACAAATTAAACAGTAGAAGTAGAATTCACTTAAATTACTATATTGAGGTATATATTTTACAAGAGAATAATGAATATTTATATAGACCCTCAAACTACCCTATATTTTCCTTTAATATATAGTTGTGTTTGATAATTAGGTATATCCTTAAACTCTTTCATTGATCTTCACCATCAATTTTAATTTAGACGATTCTTGGTTCCATCTTATTTTACGTAGTTATTATTTATTAAAATAATTTATCACTTTTGTTAATATTACATGCATTTCATCTAATATTTATATTTCAATTGAAGTACATATTAATTTAGATTTATTCTGTATAAGTCTCGTTAAAAATTAAAACCATTCCTATTAGAATTATTGAAACTGAAATTCCTTACCCTATTTAAGTAGGCATTTGGCCATGCAATATCATATCACGATATGGTATTGTGAGATGAAATCAGCGTTTGGACATACAATTTCACGTTGATTTCATCCCTGATATGGAATTACATGGTGATTCCATATCATGATTTGAGATATTTTAATATAAAAATTGATCCACAAGTTTATATTTTGTTAAAACAACTCACATTTACCTACTAGCCATTTATTTTATATGTAAATAAAATTTATAATCACATCATTACTTTTTAAAATTTATTATTCTCACCGATGTAAAATTTATTATTCTCTCCAACATATATTCACTTTAACTCACACCAACCGATTGTTAAAGTGATGAAATATTATGGTCTATATACATGAAAATATAATTGTGGATGATATTGACCAACAAATGGCTCAAAGTAACAATGTTGGTTCGTCTTCACAGTCACATGATCGAGAAATGCAAGTTTAACTTGAGAAATTTTTTCATATTATGTGGAGGATCATATTAAAAACTGTTACACTACAATTTATGTTCAATGTTTTTATTAAATTTAAGAATAGATGAAACAATTACTTAACTGGAGAACAAATACCTTTGTAATAACTTATTATGCGAATTTATAATTTTTTATTTGATAAGATTGAATAAATAATTGGGGCTGTATTAATAATTTTACAACTTATGCGATTTTTATGTTTATGAAGAAATATAAAACACACAAATTTCACATCGCATGTCCAAACAAAACTTTAACTTCATCTTATGTTCCATATCAAAATACCATATCATAATACCATATCGCACGATTAAATCGATCAAAATACAAATATTCTATTTCTCCCAAGATAACCTAGGTGGTAGTTTGTCGGAATTCGTCTTCTCCTTTTAGAAATGCTATTTTTTCTAGCAAAATCATAACAAAACCTTATATTTAGATTGAAAATATAACATAAGTATATTAAAACTATATCTTATAATACAGAAATATATTTTAATCTGTTTCTGAATATTAAAACGTAGTCTTTACCTTATTTTATAAAATGAAAAAAAAAGAAAAGGAAAAGGGAATAGGGGCAAATTGGTCAATGAGAGGGTTAAATAATGAGAACAGGGTAATGACAACTAGAGTAGTTTTGACTATGAACATCGATCACGGTCATAATGACCCAATTAGGAAGTGACACATGAGTAATTTGCAACCATTTTAAAAAAAACGTATAAACATGTAATACTAATAATCCGCCTATGAAACAGTGAATTAATACACTCATATCTTTTCTTGTAAAAAAATTAAACCATATAGTAAAGTGAAGGGCCTCTTTTTGTGAATTCACATTATCACATGGGATTTTGGGGTGTAATAATATATACTCTTTCTTGAACCTAACGGTTCGCAAAACTCAAACCGCCCACGATATGTTTACACCCTTTCTACTCTACACGACCTTTCTTCCACACTCTCACCCCCTCGATTCAAAATTTAAAATTTATAAAATTTTATATTAATCTCAATATAATACATGTTAGATAGTAAAATATATTTATGTACATATATTTAATGAAATTTAGATGCTATTAAATTCACGTCATTTTGTTATTTTAAAACTAGATTTGCTTCTGCACCTTAGCTTGAGCTGAATCAGCTTTGAAGCTTCTTAACACGAGCCCAGAGCCTACATGGTATAAAATATTAACAAAAAAATTCAAAACGGTATATAAAATTTTATATTAACCAAAACGGTAAAATCGCTGGAACAATAGCGATTTAATCCACTGGAAAAAACAAGCAGCGATTTTGCAAAATGTGTGTTTTTAATAAAAAATTCAAATCGCTACCTAGCAGAGATTTTCAATTTTGTTTTAATTTTTTTTTTCTTGAAAATCGCTGACTAGGTAGCGATTTTGCTTTTTCTGATGGAGTAAATCGCTGTTGTTTCAGCGATTTTGTGGTTTTGATTAATGTAAAATTTTATATAACATTTTGAAATTTTTGTTAATATTTTATATCTTTCAGGCTCTAAACTTAACACTCCGCTTATTATATTTTTATAAACATTTTAGTGAGTTATTAGAAAATATTTTACACTTTACGTTAAAATATCTAGTTCAAATAAATTCATCAATAGCTAAGCACTTCACAAGTCTACGTACATGTAGGGGTCACCCTTCATAATCCTCGGAGCCATACCCTACTACCCTCCTTTCCCCACTTCAAGGGGCCCACCTATACCTAAATTACTAATTATTTTTTTTTGGCTCAAAAGATTCACGTAGCATTCAATTTTGTCCTAAAATTCATGTCTTATCAATTTCTAGTGGTCTTTGTTATTATGGTGGATATCTTTTTATTTTCTTTCAACTTTGTGTTAAAATAATCTTTCCCTTCCAACTTTAGGACTATAGACGTTCTTTTCTGCTATATGCAAATTTAATCAACAATCAATAGAGTTATCTAGGTGTTCTACTGTTATTGATTATTGATTAGTATAAAATTTTATGAACAAAGTTAATGTTTAAATAACTATTATAAACAAATTACTTTGACGATACAATATTATGAAACATAATTCAAATATATTACCGTGACTTTCCTTCAAAAATTTCTCTTTTATTGAAATATATTAACATGATACTAATTTTTTTCATTTTTTGATATATATTCTAGTTGAATTTCATATATGGAGGAGGTCACTAATTTTAATGTCTGCCTCTTATATATATATATATATATATATTATTGACAAATGATTGATGAGGCCTCAAAAACATAAATCACATTTATACGAAAGATTCGAATGGATAGCTAAAAAATTAGTCAATTATAAAATTTCAATTTTTATGATTATGATTCTAATATAATTTTATTTTCACTCTTTTTTAACGAAGTTGTGTCTCGTAACAACAACTTCACCTAAGGTGGCTCTACCCTTTCTTGCTTTTTTTTCCGTTTCTTTCAGTCACCCTAAAAAATTTGTATGCAACTAGCATTATATTTGCACCCATGATAATCTAAAAAGATATAATCAAAGACAAATTGAAAAGTGTGCAAGTTGGATACAAACTCAAACATGATGGACTAAATGTATCTTAAGCCAAACTTCAAGGACCAAGTAGTGCAATTTACTCTATACTAAATCTATATATAATCCCACCATGCACCCCATATAGTCAATCCCACATACTCTCCCTCTCTCCAAATCTAACTTCTTTCTAGTCTTCAAAGTGTAATATACATATTTATTTATTCACAAAAACATGTTACCATACCATCCAAGGCCAATGATCATGATGGAAAGGACAAGAAAGTCCAATATTGAACAAGCACCAAATTGTCCTAGGTGTGCCTCTACCAACACAAAATTTTGTTACTACAACAACTATAGCTTGTCACAACCTAGGTATTTTTGCAAAGCTTGTCGTAGATATTGGACTAAAGGTGGTTCTCTTCGAAATGTCCCCGTTGGTGGCGGTTGCCGGAAAAGTCGACGTTCAAGATCTACACGAAAAGACGATAATACCCTTCAAACATCGAGCCCCGCCCTCGAAGGCGCTCCCGGAGCTCATGACATTGATCTAGCGGATGTTTTCGCTAAGTATTTGAACCAAGGTACAAATAATGATCATGATGATAATATTATCATTCAAGAATCTCAAGATTATTCTTCTATTGGAGCAAGCTTATCTAATTCTCCTTCATCAGATAGCTTAGTTAATAATCCAACTTCTTTTGAAAATGAAAGTTTGTTGGATAATTTCCAAGATTACCCTTGTGGTAATTTTCTACAAGAGGAGCAAGGGGCTCAAATTAATCAAGATTTTCTTGATTTTAACGCTAGCTTTCTTGAAATGCAAGCTATACTTGGACAAGAGGAGGATCAATTTGATCATTATAACACAAGTAATTTTGAGTGGCAACCAATGATGCAATTTCAAGATTTTGGATCAATTTTAGAATTAGATGATCATCAACTCACGAAGAATTCGACAACAAACTTAGCAAGTCATGACAATAACAACAACAACAACTATAGTTCATTTGATCTATCCAACTATATATGAAATTTACTTAAGGTGCAAAGGGTCATCTTCTTTATTTTATTTTATATTTTTGGTTTGGTGGGGGTGGGGGATAGGAGGGGTGGGGGTCTAAATTTATTCTTACTTGGAAAATGACAGTTAACTGTCATATTGTTATTTGAAAGAGACTTATGAGAAATACAGGATGAATATAATAAAAGAAAAATACACACACAAAAAAGAAAAGAAAAGAAAAGTATTGTACACTTATTTTTCTTCCTTATTTTGTTGTAACCTGCATTAAATATTTAGGCTGGAGTAGTATGTTGTAACTTCTTAAAGTCAACAATGGTTCACAATCAAGCAATTATGGCACATGGACTACTTTGGCATAAATACATACAGTAATTAAAGAGGTGGGGTCAGGGATAGATGTATAAGTATATATAACCTATAACAAAACAATATAATGCATATGAAATGTGTGTTATTTATGCCTAAGTTTTTCATACAAAACTGTTTGTCCACATTAGTAATTAAATTTCAACATGAAATATATCAGCATAATAAGTAATGTAATATAAATGTTTTTCATAGCTGGCCACATAATTTGGTAGTGTTTGGTATAGGTTTTGGATAATAAGCTAACAAATGTAAAACATGTGTATGCTTTTACTAAGCTAGAGTTGAATAATAGATTCTCAAATATTTTTCCCAAAGTTATTTTTGTGTGAAGTTTCACTACATGTTTGTCATAATATTTGAAAAAAATATTTAATTTTTAGAGAAATATATGATTTATACTTGTAAGTTTTAAAACCAAGAAAACTTGAGCTGATACACACGAAAAATCAAGAAAGTTTCTTAATTTTCTAAAAGTTGGCTTGTAAATGCGAACATATGCCTTAAAAATGCTGGGATTATACGTAATGCTTTCCCAACTCTTTACGGAGGTCCTCTTAAAGTTTTTTAAATTTTTTTTCGGTGTTCCAAGGCGTCATATCAATAAGCTAATACATACGAAAAATTAGGAAAGTCACATTTTTCCTAAAAATTGGTTCATAAATGTGAAAATATGTCTTAAAAAATAGTGTGATTATATGTAATGTTTTCACAACTCATTAAGGAGTTCTCATAAAGTTTTTAGAGAAATTCATTTTGGAGTCTCCAAGATGCCAGATTCATATATGAAAAATAAAAAAGTAACGTTATTTCTAAATGTTGACTCGTAAATGCCAAAATATGCCTTAAATAATGGTTATACTATGCATAATGCTTCCACAACTCATTAAGGAGGTCCTAATAAAGTTTTTAAAGAAAATTTTAAGTACTCCAAATTGCTAGATGCATGGGCTAATAAACACAAAAAACTAAGAAAGTCGCATAATTCCTAAAATTTGACTTGTAACTGCAAAATATTCCTTGAAAAATGGCGAGACTATACGTAATGTTTCTCCAACTAATTAAGGAGGTCTCATAATTTTGGTAGGTGCTCTAAGGTGCTAGAACTATGGGCTAATATACACGAAAAATCAAGAAAATCACATAATTCCTTAAACACTACAAGAAAACTGTGAATTAAATGTGAATTTTCTTGGAATTAGTATGAAAATTTCCAAAATAATATGCCTTAAAAATGGTGGACTATATGTAATGTTTCCCCGTCAATGACTTGTATTAACCATGAATCTAGCGCCTTGGAGTATCAAAAATATTTTTCTAATTTTTTTATGAGAACCTCCACAATATGTTGTGGAAGCATTACCTATAGTCCCGTCAATGTTTAATGCATATTTTCGCATTTACGAGCCAACTTTAGAAATTATGTGGTTATCATGTTTTTTTGTGTGAATTAACCAATGCATATGGTGCCTTGAGCACTTAAAAAAGTTTTCTAAAAATATTTTTGAGAACCTCCATAATTAGTTGGGTTAGCATCATCTGTAGTCCACCATTTTAAGACATACTTTCATATTTACAAGCCAATTTTTGAATTACTTAATTTTTTATTTGTGTGTGTATTAGCCCCTGGATCTGGGCCCTTCGAGCACCCTAAAATTTTTTCTAGAAAAAATTTAGGTGGACCTCCGTAATTAGTTGTGGAAACATTACCTATAGTCCCACCAGTTTAATGCATACTTTTGCATTTATGAGTCAACTTTTAAGAGTTACGTGACTTTATTAGTTTTTTCTGTGTCTTATCCCATGGATCTAGCGCTATGGAGACCCCAATTTTTTTCTGAAAAACTTTATGAGGACCTCTGTAATGAGTTATAGAAGAATTGCCTATAGTCGCACCATTTAAGGCATATTTTTGCGTTTATGAGCGAACTTTAAGAATTATGCGACTTTTTTGTTTTTTTCGTGTGTATTAGAACAATGTGGTGCCTTGGAGCACCCATTTTTTTTCCTGAAAAAAACTTTATGGGGGAATTCGACGAATTTATAAGTTTTTCATGTGTAAAGCTCATGTCTCTGGCAATTTAGAGCACCCGAAAATTCTTTCTGAATAAACTTCATGAGAACCTCCGTAATGAGTGAGAAGCATTATCTATAGTTTCACTATTTTTAGACATATTTTTATATTTACGAGTCAACTTTTAAAAATTTTTGTTGCTTTCTTATTTTTCGGTGTGTATTATCTTATGATCTAGTGTTTTGAAGCATCCACAAACATTTTCAGAAAAAACATTATGAGGACCTACGTAATGAGTTGGGGATTACCTATAACCCCACCATTATAAGGCATACTATAACATTTATGAGCCAACGTTTAGGAATTACGTGACTTTCTTTATTTTTCGTCGGTCCCAATTTTTTTTTAAATTTTTGTATGAGTATCCCCGTAATGAGTTGCGGAAGCATTAACCTATAGTTTCACCATTTTAAGACATATTTTCGAATTTACGACCCAACTTTTAGAAATTATGCGACTTTCTTTATTTTTTGTGTGTATTATCCCATAGATCTAACGCCTTGGAGCACCTAAAAAGTTTAACTAAAAAACGTCTGCGTACATTGATACAGAGGGGAAAACATCCGCATTTTAAATATTAAATGAGGTCAGGAACGAGAAATACCAAATTTTCTGTTTTACGTGTGCTATAGTCCATAAATTTTAGGTGGTATGTTATCCCAATGAATTTTTGGCTGAAATATTTTGTGGGGGCATGTGACAACCTTATTAATGACGTGTGTTGGTTCGGAGGGACAAACTTCCTCTTTGTGAAGTTCAAAAAACTTGAAAGGGGAAATACAAAATTTCTCATTTTACGTGTGCTTTACTCCATGAATTTTGAAGAATATGTGATTTCAACAGGTTTTTGGCCAAAATATTTTATTAGAGTCCGTGACGACCTTATGTATGATGTATATTTTTTTGGAGTGGCAAATGTCTGCATTTTCAAGTTTAAACGAGACGCAAAATGGGAAATAAGAAATTTCTTGTTTTAGGTGTGCTATAGTCAATAAATTTGGGTGATTTGTGATCGCAATGGATTTTTGGCTGAAAATTTTTGTGGGCATTCGTGACGACCTTATTAATGGTGTACGTTTGTCCAATGGGGCAAATGTTTGTTTCAAATTCAAACGAGGTTTTCTACAAATGGGTAATACACATATTTTCGCATTTACATGTCATTTTTTGAAATATATAAATTTCTCATTTTTCGTGTCTAATTAGCTCATTGACCAATCACCTTACAACACTAAAACATTTTGTAATGATTTGGGGAACCATCATGTATACCCACAACATTTTTAATTCATATTTTGGTATATACAGACCCTTTTTACAAATTACTAAAATCCTTAATTTTTCGTGTATTAGCTCATTAATCTACTTTGGAGCATCCAATTTTTTTTCTATTTTTTTTGACCTCCATAATGAGTAGGAAAACCATCATGTATATTCACCATTTTAACACATATCTTTTTGCATTCACATGCTATTTTACGACCTACATAAATTCTTTATTTTTCATGCGTGTTAGTTCATGGATTTGGCGCCTCAGAGCATTCAATTTTTTTTTAAAAAAACATTATGAGGACCTCCGTAATAAGTTGAGGAACCATCACGAATACTCACACCATTTTTTACTACATATTTTCACGTTTATAGACCATTCTTTAGAAATTACACAAATTTCTTGATTTTTTTTTGTGTATTATCTCCTGGGTTCTGGCGCCTTAAAGCATCAAATTTCGTGATAAAATTTTGAGGACCTCCGTAATGAGTTGGGAAGTATTATGTATACTCACACTATTTTTAAGACATATTTATGCATTTTTACATACCATTGTTTAATAATTACGTAAATTTCTTAATTTTTCATGTGTATTAGCCATGGATCTAGCGCCTAGAAGCACCCAATTTTTTTCTTGATAAATTTTCTGAAAATCTCCGTAATGAATTAGGAAACCATAGAGTATACTCACAACATTTTGTAATGCATATTTTCACGTTTACATGCTATTTGTATTTAGGATTTACGCTAATTTCTCAGTTTTTGATCTGTATGAGCCAATAAATATGACGCCTTAGAGCATCCAAATTTTTTTCTGAAAAAATATTATGAGAAGCTCAATAATGAGTTGGGAAACATCATGTATACTCAGATCATTTTGTTAACGTATATTTTAGCATTTACAGACTTTTTTTTAGGAATTACACAAATTTATTGATTTTCTGTGTGTATTAATCTATAGATCTTTCTTCTTTGAGCACCCTAAGTTTTTTTCTGAAAGTTTATTAGGACCTCCATAATGATTTGGGGAACCATCATGGATACTCACACAATTTTTTAATGCATATTGTTGTATTTACATGTCATTTTTTTAGAAATTACGCAAATTTCTTTGTTTTTAATGCGTATTAGTCTATGGATTTGGCCACTTGGAGTCTCAATTTTTTTCTAAAAAAATTTACGAGGACCTCTGTAATTAGTTGGGAACTATCTCGTATATCCACATAATTTTTTAACGCATGTTTTTGCTTTTACATGAAAATTTTTTATGAAGACTTCTGTAATGAATTGGAAAACTATCACGTATACTTACATAATATTTTTAACACATATTTTCGCATTTACATATCTTTTCAGAGATTGCGCATATTTCTCAATATGACCTGGGAGCACCCAAATTTGAAAAATACTTGATTTCAAAATGCAAATCAAATATTGAAAAATTTAGGATTTTGATTTTATCTACACTAAATCAACTCCTAATTTAAATGTCTATTTTAAATCTATCTTAAAAATAAGAGATTATCTGTCATTTTTTCGTCTATGCAACAAGTATCTCTAATTTCACATATACATTTCTTTCACAGTTTTAAATGTTATTGACTTTAACTTGACACGAAGTTTACAAAAATTTAAAAATATTTGTTAATCTTAAATTAAAAATACGT